TGTTTCTAATTATATAACTTTTATATATATATATATATATATATAAACAACCAGCGATAATAAGTAAAGTGGAAGCAATTGCATAGAAATGAATTCACAAAAACAACAAGCATCAAATGCATTCAAAGCTGGGAAAGGAGCTTAATCATGGCTGGCCATGGGCGGCATTTAGCTTGCAACGGTACAGCCTTAGGCATAGTTAACCCTATTCCTTCTGTTATGTCCACTGTCTCCTCCTCAATCTTCTCCCACTCAAAGCATTGAATCAGAGACCCCAGCGTGAATCCTACCATTCTCAACGCCAATCCGTCTCCAGGACATGCCCGTCTGCCTGACCCGAATGGCATCAACTTGAACCCATCTCTCCCTGTTCCCTCTACTCCTTCAAACCTCTCAGGCTTGAACTTTCTCGGGTCCTCCCAAACCTTGGGATCGTTCTGTATAGCCCAAACGTTGATGAAGAGTAACGTTTCCGCCGGAATCCGATAACCCCCTACCGTACAATCCTCCGTTGATTCATGTGGAAGTAGTAGAGGAACCGGGGGGTACATCCGCATTGTTTCGCTTATTATGCCCCGTAGGTAAGATAGTTTAGGAAGATCGGACTCCTCAATTAACCGCTCAAGACCCACAACGTTTTCAATTTCCTTTCGAGCCTTTTCCATTACTTCCGGATGGTTTAGCAGAAGTGAAAGTGCCCATTCCAGAGTATTGCTTGTAGTTTCTGTTCCTGCAGTCAAAAGAACCTACGAGGAATTCTCAGATCATTACAAAAACATTTGAATTGATTCGGAATGTGAAAAAACAGAGCAAAGTAAAAATAGAGCTCTTACAAGCACGAGATTTGCAATCATCTTGTCAGTATAATACTCAGGTTCCGATTCTTGCAATGACAACAACACCTCAATCATCGTATTCTTCCTCCCTGTAGTGTTATCACTCTTCATTTTTCTTCTACTCTGTTCTATCAATGCCAAGAAGAGCCCTTCCCTTGTTCTCTGACACTCGATCATCCTCTGTTCCAGCTTTTTGGATTTAAGCCAGGGCAAGAAATCCCCGTAATTCGTTGCAGCATTCAACTTCTGCAGTTCAAGTAGAGAGGCTTGAAATCTCCTTGCTTCCTCCACATCTGCCACATTTGCTCCGTAGAACCGCTTTCCAGCTATCATCCTTGTCATCACATTGAGGGTCAATTCGAAGATCACAGTCCATAATTCCACGGGCTTATCTTGAAAATCTACGAGCTTACGCATCAATGACCTAACCTCGTCTACGCGTATGTTCGATAGCATTTGAAGGCGTGATGTTGATAGAATCTCGATGGAAGCAATCCGTCTAAGGTTTCGCCAGTGGTCACCATAGGGAGACCAAGAGAGGCTTCTGTGGTTGTTGCCTATGTGTTTCCCTACCATCAAGCGAGGGCGGCTGGCGAAGATGATGTCATTTTTGCTTAAGCATTCCTCGGCTGCTGATGGGGATGAGACAACAACCACAGGGCGACACCCAAATTGGAGGAAGACGATGGAACCATGTCGGTCGGCGATTTTGGCTAGGGTTCGAAACAGGGGCTTCTTGAGGAGGTAGAGATGACCGATGACGGGGAGGCATGGAAAGGGGCTAGGTGGGAGGTTTTGGATTCTGAGTAGGAAGTGTTTTGCGAAACTGTAGAGGATTACCAATGCTATAAAGTAGAGAAAAATGTCAGCCATGGATGGGGAGCTATGCAGTCCGCTGAAGATGTATCCGGTGGTTTTGCCGCCTCATGAGAAAGGCTTATAAATTATTAGCTGACGATCTTCCCTTGGGGAAGATTGTAGCTCTTTGTTTTTGTCTTCTTCCAAAGACTATGACATATATGGAATCCATATTGAAGCATATTCTACAAGCCAAGTTGCATAATTATCGTGGGATTTTGTCCTTTTTCAATGATTTCTAATTTTTAAACCCCAATGAGGTAAGCACCAGTATGATTTGATAAAAATAATATTTTATATTTTATAATTTAAATTATATTATATTATAAAATATAAAGAATTTAATATCAAGAAATTTTTTTTAATTTAAAGATAATTATTTTATAATGAGATTAGTGTTTATTCGTTTATTTTTAAAAAATAAAGAGAAAAAAATAAAAAATATTTAATTTATATTTTAAAAATAAAATATTTTATTTTTTTAATAAGTGTTTATTAAAATAATATAGTTTTGAAATAATATTTTTTTTAATTTTTAACAGGTAAAGTGGATAAACACTATTTTTTTATAATTTAATATAATTTAAATTATAAAATAATTTTTTAAAAAGAATAATGTTAGAAAAAAAAAAATCTTCTATTTGCCATTTTTTTATTTACCAATTTCTATATGCACGGTTTCATTGCACCATATTCTTTACCACCTTGCCGGCATGATTCTCGTTGCACAGGCCCTGTTACTACAGTAAGACAATAGACAGTACATTTTTAGTATTTAATTACAGTATATAAAATAACGAATAACTTGGAAAAAAAAAATATTGTTTACAATAGCCAAATCCATAATTTTGAGGTTGTATTGTCTTTTTTTTTTTTATATAATTTTTAACCAATTGAATATCGGATCTTATTAGCAATTCTCTTTCATTTGAGTCTTTAGTCTTGACCATAAGCAATCTATATTTTTGTGCAACATTAATCCAATCAAAATATAGATCATCACTCATCACACTTCACACCAACAATAGAAAATTACTTAGTAATTGTCTTCCCATGTTCGTAACTCGTAAGAATCCTTCTTTGAGATTGAAGTTAATTTGATCAATAAAGTTAAAAATAAAGTTTCAACTAGTATATATAAATCTGATGATGGCTTTAAAAAAGGAAATAAATCGATAAATCTCCCACTTTTATTTTATTATTATTATTATTTTCAAATCTCTCTTAAAAATAATGAGAAAAAACGGGTCAAAAACTT